GTTTAATTGCAAAGTGGTTTAAAATGATAGCTTTGAAGCATGAAATGCTTGCTTTTCCAACTGCTCTTTCACAATTTATCTTCCTTGCTTTCTTCTTTTCTTATATGTCACGTGGGAGGGACTAAGATGAGGGTAGAGAGAAAAGAAGCAAATTGAAGATGTGCAAACCGAGAAATGAGAAAACAGGAGAGAAAGTGAAGACACAGGGAAAAAGAACACACTCAGATACATCAATCGTTGACAGAAGACAGGAAAAGACACATCAGTGTCCATAACAATTCTTTTGTGTGATATTTAAAGAGTGTAAAGAGTAAATGTGGGGGGACAATTGTGCTGCGTTTCAGATCCAGTGGGCCAGTACAGACTATCAGGTGGAGGAATGTCTCATGAAAGGGAGGGAAAAGGTAAGGCTTCTGCAATAAAATATGACTGAATATACAGATGGTTATGTTCTTTGCTATAACTTGTTGTTGTTATTATTGTTAACAGTAAGCACTAATGACCAGCTGAATATTTATTGGCCAGATATGTATATGATTATGAACCTGAACATGCTTTATCAATATTACTGATGATCCAGTAACACCCTGGCATGTTTCCATTGCCCATTTTTCACTGTTTGGTCCCAGTGTAAAAGAACACCTCCTGACCCCTACCGACTTTACCTTCATCCTTGTAATTCCTCCAACAGCAAGAGTGTGCAAACTACATAAAGGTCTTACAACAGTACAACCAGACCCATCTGTTGGCCTGTGGAACAGGAGCCTTCAACCCTATCTGTGCTGCGGTCAGAGTTGGGCATACATGGCAGGTGAGCCCAGAAGAAAGAACCATACCATACCATACCACTAGGGCTGACCAAAGTGCTGTACAATCACACCAAACATAAAAGACAAACTCAGGTCAAACGGTAAAAGATACAGGAAAAAAAAACAGCCAATCATTTTAGGAACCAAAAGTTTAAAAAACTTAATTTCACACTTCAAAGTCAAACAGAATTGTGAATTATGATCTTTAGTTCTGTTACATCATTCTAATTATTCACTTTCAATATTTATACTAAAAAAATAAGATGTTGGATTGGTTTATGATGGATTTCACAACGAGGTACTGGCATCAAAATGAGCAACTAATCCCAGGTTCTTTACTCTTAATGAGTATAATAATATAATAATATTATAATAGATATGAACATGAAGTGTTTTGATAAAGTTTCAGCCCTGGGTCTGCTCTGCTGTAAAAACACTGCACATGCTGCTGTAGATGTAAAGCTTTGGTTTTGGAGAGCATAAGGCTTTGTGCCAGTGAGCGTCCATGTGGACCCTCTCTGCTTATAAATTTAGTGAGCAGAAGGAATAAGGTTTCCGCCCTGCATTCCAGCACTTGTCCAGTAGGTCAACCAAGCCAGGGATAGCTTCCAGGCAGGAACCACACTCAGTCATCACTCAGGTCATTGGAATGCTCATAGCTGAGCACAAAACTCAGATATGGCTGATTTATGTAAGCACAGAAAACTTACATCCCAAATTGCCTCCCGAAATCATGCATGTAGTACTTGAGATTGTATTCAGTCTTTAGTTACCTTTAATTTTGATCTTATTAATGTATACACTAGGAAAACAAAGATTAATAGATACTATTGAAATTGATTATGCCAACCAATGACCAATCAACTGAATATCAGGTGGCTTAGATGTTTCAATAAAAGCACAAATCACATACCAGAGTACAGACTAAGAGTACAGTAATATTGATTAGAT